TGCCAACTTGGGCCAGTGAAGCAACGTCCTCCACAACTAGACTGAAGAACAAAAGGACAGCAACTTGTCTGTTCCCCTTCCCTCACTTCCCTAGCACTGTTCCCATCCCCCAATTCCCCAATAAAAATCTTTAAAAAAAAAAAAGAAAACTATTTTGATGACTTCATTAAATCTAATTATGAGGATTTAGTTATATGACATTTTTAAATCTGTATGTCTCTGTATACTGTTTGATGTTATATTGGTTTTGTTCATTAAAAGCACCCAAGAAGAAACATAGGGCAATTAAGTCATTTAATTTATTTAAATAAGATTTAAGACCATGTAAATAGAAGCTTACATATTGTAAAATATTAAGCATAGAATTAAAAACCCAGAATTGTGAGTTAGGAAACTTGGCTTCTTTTTTTTCTTTTATGTAACAGCTTTATTGACATTATTCACATACCATACAATTTGCCCATTTAAAGTACACAATTCAGTGGCTTCCAGTATATTCCCAGAGTTATACAGTCATTTGCACAATAAACTTTAAAACATTTGATCACCCCGAAAAAAACCTCGCAACCTATAGCAATCACCCTGTATTCCCCCTATCCCCACCAGCCCTAGGCACCCACTAATCTACTTTCTGTCTCTATAGATTTGCCTGTTCAGACATTTCATATAAATGGAATCATGGTCGTTTGTGACTGGCTTCTTTCACTTACATGTTCTCAAGGTTTATCCATGTTGTAGCACATATCAGTGCTTTATTCCTTTTTATTGCCAAATAATGTTCTACTGTATATTGTTTATAGCACATTTTATTTATCCATTTATTAGCTGATGGATATTTGGATGGATACTTTTTGGCCAGATTTCCCCAACCTTATTAAAAAACGCCAACTGACAGATCCAAAACTCAGCAAACTCAGGGGCCGGCCGAGTGACGTGATGTTTAAGAATTGGCTTGGGACGCCAGAGAGCCCCGGTTCGGATCCCACATATGAGGGCCAGTGACACTGCCCTCTACAGCTAAGATGCTGAACAACAGTTCAATCTGGAGCTGGGCAGGCTGCAGCCCCTGCTGCAGTGGGTTGCTATGGGCTACCATGTATAGCCAGCAGCCAGCGTGAATGGCCAACAGCCGCAGTGAGCGGCCGTCCAGAGGCCAGCGACTGATCTGTGCCTCGCCCGGGAAGAGCGCAATGATGGTGCCAACTTGGGCCAGTGAAGCAACGTCCTCCACAACTAGACTGAAGAACAAAACGACAGCAACTTNCTTCTATAAAGAAAGACACACTTTTATCATAAAGACTTTCTCCTACATGTACATAAGGACACACGCACAAAGCTGTGCATTGCAAATTAGTTTATAATAGCAAAATTGAAAACTGACCTAAATATCCATCACTAGAGAAACGGAGAAATACCTTATAGCAGTTAAAATGAATAAAGTAGATTTACATGTATCAACATGGTAAAACCTTGAAAACATAATATTGAATGAAAAAAGCAAGTAGCAAAAGGATATATATACACTGTGAAATCTAACTTTTCAAAGAACAGTACATTTTATTATCATATATGATAACAGTATAAAAACATAGTCAGGAGGGATATTCATCAATTTCAGAATAGCTGTTACCTCTGGGCAAGGAAGGGAATAGGGCCAGTAAGGGGCTACATATTTCTCAAGAAAAATATTTTTTAAGTAGATATGGCAAAAATGTTAACATTTATTATATCTGGGTAGTGGTACATAGTCATTTAATGTATGTAATATTCTTTGTGCTTTGTCATTGAAGTAGTTTCTTTTTTTTTGAAAAGTTAGACTGGGGTCAGGGTATAAAGGGTATTGAAAGGTTTCCTTACTTTTCCAAGCACTCTTTTAATTCTTTGTAGATAGAGCTTTTCCGGTCACTTTGCATCTATAAATTGGTTTGTGCCCTGTCACCGCCAGATTAAGGAGGAGGGTAAGTGAGATCAGAGTTTTCTCTGTCTTCCTTCTGTCTTACCCATTAGGGTTCATAGTAGATCTCAATAATATCTTTTCAGGATACTTCTATTAAACTTAAAATATTACCATACAACATAAATGTCTTTAAGTCCATGACCCAAGTGAGTGATGTAGAATTTAAAAATAAGTAAAGGATGTCTTTTCTCTTAATTTCTGCTCAAAAAGTAAATAATGATGATAAGATGTCTTTTAAGATCTAGTAATATTGTTTGCTACTTCAGTTGATAATTGTATACATAAACAGTCACAAAGAATCTGTTTGTATGCTACAGGTTTGTTTGTTTTTTTAATTTCAGAAATATAACAATGTAAATAATTTTATAAAATTTACCCACTAATTTATATCACCTTAGCTTGTTAACTGTTTCTATATAATTACTGAGGTTTTTTTTATTTTAGAAGCAGAAAAATGATGTCAGTATCAAGGACTTGTTTTATGGAGTAGAGTACTGGGAATTCTCTTATTTTACAGATTATTCCTGGGAGAGGTCAGAAGTTTACTTATGTAAATCAATATGGTCTAGTCCCTCCCACTTGTTGAATAGCTTGGTTGTTAAACTGTGTGCTAGGCAACAGGCTTTCTCTCTCCCTTTTCTCAGATACAGTGCAGAGAATAAGTTGCTTTTATTGTTATTGTTTTGTTACTGTTTTATATGCAGGTTAAACACTTTAAGATGAGAAAAGTTGATCTCTGTCTGAGTTCTGAAGGGGCTGAAGTGATCTTAGCTACATCAAGTGATGAAAAACACCCCCCTGAAAATATAATTGATGGGTAAGAGTTACAATTCTTTCTTCCTTAAAGTCTTGATATTAGGTCAGTGAACCCTTGAGTACTAGATCTATGTGTTTTACAACAATTAGCACTGTTAAACATAGTTTAATAAATGTTTGGTGAAGTAAATTACCTGACAATAGTTGTCTTTGGTACCATTTCTGGAACTAATTCAGTTGTATATATTTAGATTTTTAATCCTTTTCTTGTTCATTCCTAAACAGAACTTTTTATACAAATAGTTTTTTAAGAAGTGATTTAACAGGGCAAAACTTGAAACAACAACCATCTCATTTTATGGAAGTGTACATTTTAATATCCGTTTATGGTTTTATTCCAAATGTTTTTTAGTAAATAGGAATATAAGCATTGTAACTTCCTATCTACTGCCTATTTCTTTTTTTTTTTTTTAGGCTTTTTTTTAAAGATTTTTATTGGGGAATTGGGGGGATGGGAACAGCGCTGGGGAATTGGGGGAAGGGGAAAAGACAAGCTGCTATCGTTTTGTTCTTCAGTCTAGTTGCGGAGGGCGTTGCCTCACCGGCCCAAGTTGGCACCATCACCGCGCTCCTCCCGGGCGAGGCAGATCAGTCGCTGGCTTCTGGACGTCCGCTCACGCTGGCTGCTGGCTACACACGGAAGCCCATGGCAACCCACTGCCATGGGGGCTGCAGCCTACGCCGTGGCCCGCGACTCACGGCAGCCCAGCTCCAGGTTGAGCTGTTGTTCAGCATCTCAGCTGCGGAGGGCAGCGTCACCGGCCCTCACATGTGGGATCCGAACCAGGGCCCTCTGGCGTCCCAAGCCAGCTCCCAACCATTGCGCCACTCGGCCGGCCCTCTACTGCCTATTTCTTGACTCTAAGCAACATGTTTGCTAACCTGAATGCTAACCTTTCTGCTATCCACCTTCATTGTTTGTTTTTGCAGCTTCCTGATGTTATTCCAGTTTCCACTCTTCACTGTGCTAGAGCTTATTGTAGGTAGAGAGAAATATCATTTTCAGACTTTTAAGTTCCAAGAAAAAGTAGTTAGTTGGAGGACTCTGACTATTTTATCAGTCTTTTGAGTTCTCTTTCTTTGTATTTGTACAGCGACCAGAGTTTGACTCATAGAATCATATAATTTTAGAGCTTGGAAGAACTTAGGAGTTCATCTTATCTGAACCTTTCATTTTAGACTTGTGGTCAGAAAGGCCTAAAGAGGTCAAGTACTAGTTTTAACTGTGGAAGGCAGAACCGATTGTAACACAGATCTTGTGTTCTTTGTGTTGTATTGTAAAGCCTATGTATCTGGATAAATAGTAGGAACTCAAACTCTTCCTTTAAGCCTTGTTGTTATCTCCTCTCTGACATCTGTCTCTTCCCCTCAGGTAGGATGAGTTTACCTTTTTTGTTGGACTCCTATAGAATTTGGTTTATACCTCTATTACCTTATTTATTCCTTTATTGTGTAATTATTCATCTTTAATGCTCGACTCTTAACTGAGAATTCCTAGAAGTCAGAGACTATGACTTGTTCATCTTTAACTCCACAGTGTCTTAAAATATTTTAGTACTTTGTTGAATTAGACCATTAAGTATTAGTCAAACGCATCTAATACTGGAGAGCAGCTGAGTATTTATACACATACACGTATACATACACACACATATATACATACATATATATGCATATGTTACTTATGTATAGGACTTTATAGTTTCATAGATGCTGTGTTATTTGACCCATAGTGTAAGCTTGGGGAGTAAAAGGCAAAAAAAAAAAAAGCATTTTCAACCTCATTGTAAAGATGAGGGAAAAAAAGATGATTAGAGGTAAAATGACTTGCTCAAAATCACACAGATAACCAAGTGGCAGAATCAAGACTAACACTCATGTCTTCTAGCTCCTAGTTTGGGTTTCTTTGTACTACACTATGATAACTCAACTTAAGGTTTGTATCAAAAACTTAATGCCTGTTTTTTGTCTGTGACTCTTAATCCTTCTTAGTTTTTTTACTTCTAGAAATTCAGGTAATAGTTATTTATCCCACTCTGCCTTGGAGCAGAGAAATTAATGTGGGAACTGCTGTGAGAATACACAGACCTATAAAGATTTGCCTTAAGTTGTTTGCCAAAAATAGAGATCTTTCCAAATTTCAGTCCATGTTAATTATTAAGGACATAATATTTTTCAGATTAGACAAAATCTTTAGTACATAAAACCATATGGAATAAAAGTAGTGACTGACCTGATAACTGAACAGAGCACATCAGAGACTTTTAATCCATTTGCATTTCCAACAAATACAATTAGACTTTATATAGTAGATATTAAAAATTATTCTCAGCTCATAGGTAGGTTTATCTAAATGGAAGTAACGTTAGAATTATTTGGAGAACACTATTATAAATTTGCCCCTGCTGGACAATGCTCCCAATTTTTCATTTCCCAGAAAAAGAGTTGAAGAAAGTGATTATATTTCTACTTGCCCTTGACTCTACTTTTGTATCAATGAAAGAGGAGAAAAGAAATTCTGCACTAGAAAAAAAAAATGAGTTAAGACTAAAAGAAGAGAGAAAGAATTAGTCCTTTTGGGATAATGTAGAAGAATACTAGATTTACAGTAAATTACTGGGTAAGTGAACTGTATGTGTTACCTTGGGCTAAGAATATATGTGTTACTCTTTGAGACTCAGTTTCCTGGTCTGAAAAATGGGGATAATACCACCTTCTCTGAATACCTCAGAGTTGTGAAAAAATCATGTGAGATAATAGATATTAAACAGTCATTAGATATAAAGCCTCATTTAAAAGAAAACTATTTGGGGCCGACCGAGTGGCGCTTTGGTTAAGAGCTAGCTTGGGACACCAGAGGGCCCCGGTTCGGATCCCACATATAAGGGCCAGTGACACTGCTCTGTACAACTAAGATGCTGAACAACAGCTCAACCTGGAGCTGGGCTGCCGTGAGTCGCCGGCGACGGCGTAGGCTGTAGCCACTGCTGCAGTGGGCTGCCATGGGCTACCGTATGTAGCCAGCAGCCGCTGTGAGCTGCCGTCCAGAAGCCGGCGACTGATCTGCCTCGCGGGAAGAGCGCAATGATGGTGCCAACTTGGGCCAGTGAAGCAACGTCCTCCACAACTAGACTGAAGAACAAAAGGAC